ACGACATGTCCCACGTGCGGGCGTAGGACTGTAGAATGGTAAATGAGTGCGTGCAAAGACCATCAGGCAATGTTCACTTACCATGATGAATGGTTTTGAGGTGGCGCTCAGCTGCTCCACTTCTTTTCAACTTTGTTGGGAGGGGGGAAGCGGCTACATGGGCTTGACTGTGGGGCTGAATTGCAAGGTGAGCCATCCAGATCAATCACAAGTGGCAAGAGCGCCAAGGTATCTGTACTCACTTGTGCCAAGCAGAGCAGGTGGATGGTGATTGGAGGAGAACCCAGACCCTCAATCGACACCAGCAGGCTCTGTTGATATGCGCACAATACCCATCCGAAATACCCATCCAAGCAGAAACTGGTTGCGCAGGGCGCTGTAATGTGGCAGTATAGCGCATTGGAATTGAGCATGTTTTCTTCAGATGACCAAATGCAGCAAAGCGTCCAAGATATGCTTCTGTGAGTCCTGTACATCTCGAGACAGCAGTCCCAGCAGGGAAAGAGCCTTTGCACCAATCTCCAGTACCTGCAAGAGAGCCAACTTGCTTGGGACATCGATGGGGAATATTGTGAGATGGTGTCCAAGCCCTTCAGATGCTGGCATTGAATACTGAATTTGCCAGTAACTTTCTACATCTCTCACTTCCAGGACCTCCATAGTCTGCATGCTGAACTCTGCAAGACTGACCTCCGCCTGGGTTGAGGCCTCCTTGTATGCAGTTGCCATTGTCACATTGGAGGGCTCGGCAGCAGCTTGACATGGCTGTACTAGATTGTCCTGAGGAAAGGAGACGTCAGGGACATCATTTGATCTAGACAGGCTGCCAAACATACAGAAGGCTGACAGCCAAGAGCTTTATATCAAGCTCAAAGGTGTCAAGCGCAGTCAACGCAATTTGCAAGACTGTTTCTGTACTTGTTGGCTTGATGATTGCTATCATTGCCAGCTTGTTGGCCTTCCACATCGCTACTTGCTAGCATGTGAGCTGTCATCATGTACGGGTAGTCCCCTTCAATGAGATGATTGTCCTCCCTCTTTGGCTTGACAATTTGGTAGCTTGGAGTCTTGGATGGACAGCTCCTTCACGTCTGATGTTCTAAACCAAAAAGCTGTAAAAGCTCCCTCCCTAGGCGCTTGGTCAGATATGATTCACCTCAGGTTGGCCTCCTGTAACAACATTAGCTCAGTACTTAGTCAACAAGTCGTTGATCTCCATCTCCGTCTACCCAATTGTTCAAATTCGAGTATTCAGTTCCATCACAAGTTTACACTCGCGGGCGGGGTGTCAAGAGCGCTTATAGTCCGCTGTTCCTCTAATGAAGACTTGCGGAGGGTCATTCCCTGCCGTCTGACCACTCCAACAACACCCACGTACAGCAGCCTAAGAGTGAGACCCAGGATCTTGAGCGCCGCACTGACGCTGCCAACGCTGTCGACTTGCTCGAGGTGAATCGCCTAGCGCATCTTGAGCGCATTGTCTATGTCTTGCAATGGTGGCCTTCTCCGCTCATGTGTTGTACGTGATTCAGCCCAAGCGCTAGGCAACCAGAGCAGCTTCAAATAGGGGAGGCTTCTTGGGCATGATTGCGTCCCCTTGATTTTCTTTCTTCTGGAGCTGCACTCTGATGAGCTTTCTTTCCATTCTTATGGTGAGCATTTCAAATGATCCGGATGGCGACTGCCGATTCCGAACCGAAAAATGTTGTAGACCAAACGTAGCGCCGGTTGCAATCGTCATCAGTGTAGCCGTACACAAAAGTCCCAAAGCCGAGGGTTGAGACTGAGAGTGCAAGTGCAGCACATATTCAGGCGATCAAGACCCAGACCCTGGTGACGTCTCGTCACAAGTACTGCTGGCGCAACAAACGTATCGGCCCGCTACTTACTTCCCAGCCCATTCGTCGTCTGATTTGTCTCAACGATGATTGTCTGCACTTGCTGAGCATCTCTCGCAACTTATATACCAGGCACCGGTAGTTTATCGGTGTTCATGAAAGTCCTTCCAGCGTGTTGTGCTTTCCATTTGATCAACTCTTGAAGTCTATCCTTCACGTTGCCGATTCAATCGCTCTTTTGCAATTTATAAGGTACTCTTACAAGAGGGAAGAGCGCGACTAGAGCCGAACGTTCGATTGCTGGTATTGTAGTCGTGAGTATGGACGTGGTGTCGCTAGTATCGATGTCTACAGATTCTACGCACTGGCCAGGGAGTGTTTGTTCCTCAGGACGTTGCAGCAGAATAAAGAGGTCACCAAGAGCAGCGCTGTGAAAAGATCATGCCTCATCAATATGTCCGACTCAATTTCCACCTTACTCCGAATTGCCACTCAAGAAGTCTGGGCGTAAAACAGCGGCACTGCTCTCTCGCGCAAAAAAAGGAATCGGATCACGCGTCCAGATGCCTCAAACTCAACATCAGACATCAACGAAACACGGCTCAGAGTCCGCGCAAAACACAAAGATGCGTAACGAGGAAACACACTAGCTAGGTCAGTCACGACTCATCAACTCGTCAAGAATCATTGCTGACCTTTCCAAGGGTGGGAGGAAAAGTGAGAAGTCTCTTACCATCCAAAGCAAGACGTGCTGTCACAATACACTTTCGGCAGGTACGTTCCCACACTCACCAAAGGAGGCCTGAGACCACGCTGCAGCAAGCCTCAGGTTGGAATAGAGGCTTGACTAACGCTTCCACTGTGGCAGCTTGGAAGAAGAGCAAGATGCGAAGTTATTTGGGCGCAACTCACAGGTTATCAAATAGGCCAAAAGAGTTCTCTTAGGCGCAAATCTGCTGTAGAGAACGTTTGCGCGCTGAGCTAAAGAGCGGAGGGATCAAAGAAACGAGTCCCCCAGTCAACAACGTTTTCCCGAATCCCACACTCACGCAGATACTAATCAAGCGAGCTTGACGTTAGTCAAACTGGTGTGGTGCCGTCAGAGAAGGGTAAACGTAATAATGCGCGCCTATCATGTAGCGGATGACACACAAAGTCAGTGCTGAGACATCCTTCTCCGTACGTGTAGGATGATGTAAGAGAAAAGTTGTCTTGACGCAAGGAGGCAGAGTAAGGAGATGTTTTGTGAGCGAAACCTACAGGAATTTTCGGACTTAGGGTATGCGAGCTGTGCTTGCACTTGTTAATGAAATTAAATGACAACAAAAAACTCAAGGTTTGCAGCAGGTAGCCGTATATCTTGACAAAAGAATGGTGCAAGACCGAAAAGAAGCAGCGCTTCTATTTGAGCTGCTAATGCTGCCAAAATGCCAAAATCGTTTTATTGTTGTCTTCTCCTGTGGATGAGACGAGCTTCCGCTCCGCACCGATTTTCAGCAAGATCATGGTCACCGTACCCAACGAGAGTCTATGATGCAAGCTTGTCCAGGTGTCCACCTTGCCCGCTACGTGAAGCTCTGACATCGAGCATATTTTGGATGACGCGTTTTTCACCACTTGTGGCAAAGAGACGCGTCTGATAAGTTGGCTGCCAAATGTATCTGCGCATCGCCTCGCGCGCCAAGAAAAATTGGTGCCTCGCTCGCATTGAAGTATATGACAATCAATAATCTGCTGTTGCTTTGAACACATCATCACGGCGTTTTGCCTACGACTCTTCCGGACGAAGAGCCGACAGGGCGACCGACTGCTAGTCACCAGAACCACCAAGCTTTTAGGGGTATGCCTGCGGCCTCAGGCAAGATTTTGAAGAAAGAGAAAAAAGACCACATTCTATCAGACGACATGCATGATGTGCGCTTTGATTATCGATTTGGCTTTTGTGACAGCTTCGTAAGCAGTAAATTTCTTGATCAGCGCAAGCTTCTCCGGTCAGATCGAACAGCACGTGTAAGCGCGTTTGAAAGATGCTCGAAGCAGGTCGAAGGACCCACACCCTCACGTACAGCCGCGTTGCTATATGTGACTGTTGGATTTTTGCCTCGCCGGAGAATGCTCCACCGCGGATTCGACGCAGAGAAACCGACGACTCAGAAGAAGTCGATGACATTTGCAAACCTTGCAATTTTGTCTTAGCGCGCATTTTTTGCTTTATCAAGTCTTGATGCGATGAATGAGGCGCTTTGAAGATTTTACGCAGAATGTGAGCAGCAAAGGCCGGCTTAAGAAATATGAGAAACCATCATACCCAATAAGCACTCCAATCGTGCATCGGGAGCGAAGAAGGGATGGCTGAAATTGGTTCCTTCCTTGACACCTCCTCTCGGGTGAAGTAGTTGAAGACCGTGGTGTCCGAGAAAGGTCGTAAAAAGCGTGGTGTCAGCCGAACGGCTCGAGGCGATTCAAGTGATCAAATCAGGAAGCCAAGGTTCGGGCATTTTGGCCTTTGACGCGTCTCGCTATGCGCATGCTTTTTGCTTCCAGATGGTCATGTCCCGACTGGGATGCCTCGCCCTGGTCAAATGTGGTTCTGTGCATGTCTACCCACCAAATTTGTTCCTGGTCAAATGTGGTGTGCATGTCTTCTCAACAAACTCGCAGGGCTTATGTTTCCAGGCATCTATCCACTATACGAGTTCGACAGCATAGTTGATCACTCGCAAGTCGATGAGCAAATGTCTGTGTCTAACTCCATTCTGAAATGCTACAGTCACTTCATCCTTGTAACGTCATAGAGATCAAAAGCACTATGCTGCTAATATTCGGTTGCAATCTTTCTCAGGTCTTTGTGACTAAAAAAAAAAATGCCGCAAGGAGCTGCCTAGGCACCAAACAAATGGTCATTCACTGCTAAAGCTGATGAGGCCAAGCTCAACGCTAAAGGAGAACGTCACATCATTAGCTGTCACAGACCTTCTATGATGCTAGCGTTAGGCACGCCTCCATGCACATTTTCCAGCTCTGGTGCTGCCATCCCCTTCGATTGGCTGTCAGAATTGTTACACGATGATAACATACAACATGAGAAGGCGTCAAGAAGGCGTCAATCACCAGAGCGCTCTGATGTCCGTCAAGGTGGCCGCCATTATTATCCTGAGGAGAAGATCGCGGTGGGTTTCTTGCTGCACTCTACGCATGCCATTGGCGTTCTGGACTCCAAAGCCCCAGAACAGCTCGTCTAGCCTCGAGTAGCTTCTTTCAGTCCCTGACGCTGCCGTTCCTCCCAATGCACAGCTCGACGATCAGTCAACAAGTCGCTCGCGTCCCCGCACCTTTTCTCAGGAAGCGGCGCCAGCACCCCACAAAGCCACAGGGGCCAATCCCTACTCGGTACCAATCTCATCACAAGTTTTCGGTGTGCCAAAGCGTGGTCGCGCGCCTCGAACCACTGGGAGTCCTGATTGAAGTGGGAAAGTGACAATTGGTCGGAGAATTCTCGGCTGAATCCTGACAAGCTCTCAAACAGTTCTACGATGACGGATCGTATTGCACCTGCGCCACAGCTACAATGCCTTTCAATGCTCATTCAAAGTTGTGCGACAATGAGCTTGGACAAGTGTTCCGCATCTCTAGCCATGTCACGGCTTCTCCTCCTCCCAGAGCCCAGCAAGCTGCATGCGACCCGGACTCGACTTGTAACCTCGGCTTTTGCGAGTTGAACACCAGTGATGCAAGCAACCTTACCATCGTCAGTCTAGCTGTAAGCGACCTTACCATTGTCAGTCTACTGGAAATGGTCCATCTGAAGGACAAAGACCGTGCGTCCATTCAGGAATTTGGAGGGCCGTGGACTGAGATCAGCCATGGTCACCAATTGGAGCCTTGGTTGCACCAGATTCTTTGCGGATTGCAAGAGAAGTGTAGGATGATCTATAGCAATGCAAGGATCCGCGACGAAGATGCCAGTTCTTCCTTCTTTTGACCGGCTTAGAAGGACCGGCTTAGAAGATGGAAGATCGGTCCTGCGTCACATACAAGCAAGCAGAAACTCTGTTCTTCGCTAGGTCTACCAATTCTGCTTGGACGACATGGTCAACGGCGAGGGAGAGAAGGCTGGACGTCTCTACGCTGATCACGACTAGAATGTCCAGCTCTTTAGGCCGTAGGCGGCGTCAACACGCTACACCTCATCTGCCAGATCGCCGTTCTGTCTTCTTTCATGCGCTCCCCTCTTTCGCACCCAAGCACCTCACCTCATATGCTCGATATCACTTGCTGGAGCACACGCAGCCATCGTCTATTCCTACCTTCTGAAACCGGCCCCCTATTGCCCGCTCCTGGTCGCTCTCCAGCAACATCGCTTTGATAGATCCAAGTCTTGAAGGCTGTCGGCACAGGTCGCCTATGCTACGGCCAAATTTCACTTGATACTTTGCCCATCATCGTCAACATGTATTGCGCGCGCCTGATCTACCCCCAATTGCTACTTTCCCCATCATCGTCAACACGCATTGCGTGCGCCCGATCTACCCCCAATTGCTACTTTCCCCATCATCGTCCATACGCAATGCGCGCGCTGGACTTGCCCCTACCTCCAGCTTTGCCCATCATCTTCCGCACGCAGCGCTCGCCACTCTATGCTCGAGTAATCGCAACACATCTTCGATTCGGGCCACTCTCGTCAATTGTATACGTTGACTATAGTGGGCCTCGACGGGACGGAGATCATCGTCAACACGTATTGCGCGCGCCCAATCTACCCCCAATTGCTACTTTGCCCATCATTGTCAACACGCATTGCGTGCGCCCAATCTACCCCCAATTGCTACTTTCCCCATCATCGTCCATACGCAATGCGCGCGCTGGACTTGCCCCTGCTTCGTTGCTGACGCTGCCATGCCCTTCTTTCTGCCCATCCTGATCATGCTCAGCACTCGCAATGGAGTCCAGCGCAGAAAAGGGCGGCATCAGCAAAGGCGCTAAGGAAGCATGACTCCATTGCAGAAGAGGATAGCATTGCTGAGGGCCCTAAGAAAGCCATCCTGTCCATGCTCATCGCTTGCAGTGAACTCCAGCGCAGAACACAAGAGCATTGCTCAGCACTCGCGATGGAGTCCAGCGCAGAAAAGGGCGGCATTGCTAAAGGCGCTAAGGAAGCATGACTCCAGACCGACGATCGTCTCATTGCCAGCTTGACGGGGGGAAAACCATCGCCTCACAGCGCAGAACAAAAGTTGGGCTAAGGAATTTAAACAGATGTCAACTGATTTTGCCCTGGCGACCCAGTCGACGGCAGATGCGGAGGCAAAAGCTGCGCATTTTCAAGAAGAAGCGGCTTTCCAACACAGACGTGCCCTCGTTGCCGAGTCTGCATTAGACGCCAAGGAGCACCAGCTGGAATGTATGCGCAACGAGCTTGAGTCCCAGAAATCTTGCTTCACTAAGAAGCTGCGCAGAGCCGAGCAGGTGGACGCCCGCAATTCCAGCAAGTCGAATGAGAGGAACATCGAGTTGGAGCACGAGCTGAGCGCCAGCCGTGCCCAATACTGCATTTTCAAGGAAAAGCGGCTTTCCAGCACGGACGTGCCCTCGTCGCTGAGTCCGCATTGAACGCCAAGGAGCAGGAGCTGGAACGTATGCGCAACAAACTTGAGTCCCAGAAGTCTTGCTTCACTAAGAAGCTGCGCAGAGCCAAGCGGGTGGACGCCCGCAATTCCAGCAAGTCGAATGAGAGGAACATTGAGTTGGAGCACGAGCTGAGCCCCAGCCGTGCCCAATACTCCGCCGTCTATCACGGTCTGCGTGGGCTGATCGACAGCTATCCGGCTCCCAACGACAAGCACAATGCCCATCTTGGGGGCGACGGACGTCGCAACAGTCGCATCGATGCATAGGCGTGAGGGCTCCAGCGTTTTGTCCGACCACCCTGCCCTATCTTCTTCCGGCCGCATTCTCAGAACGCTCACTATCTATGTCTACACCACATGACTTCAAAGGCCACCTTGACCGCTGCGTTCTCTTTCGTTGATGCTTCGCGTGCAGATGGTTCTGTCTTGCTCTCAGCCCACCAGCCATCCGATCTTCCGTCTATCGAAGATTTCCTGCTGCCCGACCCTCCATGCACTCATTGCCGATTACCTGTTACAGACGCTCTTTGAGGCTACTAGTAGCCACGCCCCAATGCACTATCCACTTCTATGACTACTATTCTCCTCGATATTGTGTCGTGAGCGTAGAAATTCGCGTGCATGCTCCGCACATCTGGGAATAAGAAGGGAGGGCAAGTATGCCGGCAGCCTTTGATCAAGGCGAGTCGCGTATACCTGACGTATCATCTGCTCTGGTGGAGTGTCCCTCATATCCAGGGCGTGTTGCATGCCTGATCAGGAAACAGCACAGCTAGAAAGCTGCAAAATGGTCCGCCCCGGGCTTCAGAAAGGAATGGGTCTTGCCGACGGGGCGCCGGGGCGGCCAAATTGAATCGGCAAGCGCCGATGATGACGGAATTATCGTCGCTCAGGACCATGCTTGTCATCGACCTGCTGCCAACGCTCGAAAGACACTGCTGGTGATGAGACGAGCATAGCGGTGGCTATTACAAGAGTGGCGAAGCTGACAGAGTTGTAGATTCAAGTATTGAGTATTTCACACAAGTGGCGGACCAAGGAGGCAAGGCGACACGTTCCATCTTCTGCTGATTCCTTGCCGAGCTAGCGTCCAACCCTGCTCCGGGGCCTAGTCAGGAGCGTCTGTCGCTAGCTCTGTGAGCGTTTTTTGCACCTTGTAGCATGCTTGTTGGTGTCTGTAGAAACTTTACTAAGCTTCACGTGTGGTAGCTCGGCACTGCTGGTGCGCGCGAAGGCTTTTGCTGAGTACAAGAAAGCCTCATACGTCTGAGTCGTTCGTGTTACGAACATCGCTTTGCGAAGTCTGCGGGTAGTACGCACGCGAGGCTGATGAGAGTTGGAGGACACCGAGCTACAAGTGAAGCTCGTCGGGCGGACAACATCATGCGTGCACTGCTCAGGTCTTCTAGAGCATTCAAGGTCGACCGCACGCTTTGGGGTCAGCAAGCGGTACATATATACACATTCTTGATTCTTGATGCCGGCCGATAGAACTCGGCTTAGAGTTGAGATGCGTAATGTGAAATCAGTTGAAATAACTACTCGACTTGACTCGAATTCTAGCCATTGAATCCCTGGCATTGAATTCAAATTCGAGATTGAGTAAATTAAAATTGTCAAACACTGCGCATGGGCGCTTGGCATGCACGGTGCTCGAAGCGCGCTCACTCAGGATTGAAATTTGTATCTCACACCTTTGATTCAAATTGAAATCCTAAGATTTCACGTTTCGAATAGCTAAAACCTTGAAACAAAAATCTTGAATCAAAAAATGTGATAATCTCGAATAGAAGTCATTTTGATTGAGTCCGCGCGGCGTGACGCTCTTGACGGAGCTGACCGCGGTGTCGCTTTGGTGATCTCACCAAAAATCAAACCCGATTTGCTTTGCATTGGAATTCAAATTCTGGATTAGAGTTGAAGTCAAGAGTGCCATCGGCCATCCAAGGATTCTTGATACAAATTTGTATGTCGCGCTTTGACTCACCGGGTATAATCAAAAGCGCACGTGCTGCATGGCTCTCACTTCGCGGTCATTCAAGACTGCCTTTCGGGCTCGGCGACTTGCGATGGTCATGGAGTCCATCGCCGTGTATACTCACTGACAGTCATGACCCGACTTCCGGCCTTTTCTCATCCTGTTGCGCAGAAGCCCCAGCAGCATCTCGTTGAGGTGCGACTTGACCCTCTAACCGCGTCGCGACTAGGTTCCCGGCGACTGCCTGCGTTGTCTGCGTTGTGGCACTACTGCATATATGCGCTGAACTTGCATCTTCACTCGCCAGCGTATCTGGACTAAGAGCCTGCAGGCCAGCGTCAACGAAGATCTGCATTACCTACCGCAAGCTACACCGACCGAGATGCGCACAGACTGACACAGACTGCGTGCTTGTGACAGCTGCAGACTGCTAACGGCCAGGAACGAAGCCGCTAGCCAGCGAATGTGCGGGACTTGCGCGCGCGTCACACGTCTTGCATCACAACGCTCGCTCTCGCATCAACAGCATCCTCTCGATCAGCTAAATTCAGGGGATGACAGGCACGCCAAGCGATCGTTTCTGGAATTGAGGACGAGCAGGCTGGCTCGTCGTACGGTCAAGTTTGCTGCTAGAGCCTTGTCGGTACGCGGGCTCGAGCGCGCTGGGCCTCCCAGCGTAGACTAAATGGAAAATCTCTCCCCGGCAACGACGTTGGACTTCACTCGCCCGCTATGCAGGTCAGCTTCACCAACGTCTGCCTCTTGATGCAGCGAAAGGGCCTCCTCAAAATTGCTAGCATGCATGGCAATCTGCGCGTTCGACAGCCGCGAGCCCCTATCTCGAAGCCCACTTCAGCGAACAAACACCGATCAGCAAGAACTTAGCTTTCGCGCTCGTGTGCGGCAAAGTCAAAGCTTGTCCGACACGCCCGCTCTCGTTCTCCTCCCGACCTTCATCGTCATCAGTTCGTAGCACGCAGTGAATGATCTTCTGACCTCTCCGCTTCGAAACTAGGCAGCCTACCTTCCCCATTCTGCTCACAAGCAGCTCGCTTTTGCCGTTCACAGCTCGTTGCCTCGAGAACCTTTCCCACAGCATCGTGTCAACAGCAACTTGATTGCAGATCTCGTATGGCCGCCTTGCACTCATTTAGCTTAACTTGGGTACACACATCATTGCCGGTCGTAGTCAACATCGCTGCCAAAGTCGGCCTGCCCAGAGACTAGACGAGCCGGCGTGCTTCAAGGCGCTTTACGGTCGTTCGAACATGATCTCTAACAGCATGCGAGATGCAGCGGCCGCAGAAGACACCTACATGAGGGCCTCCATTTATCAGCGAATCTGGGATCGACTACTTGCCATCGAACGTAGATTCAACGATCTCGCCGGCCAATTCGAGTTCACTCCGTTAGCAGCACTCTCATCGAGCGCCAAATCCAGCGCAGACGGCTTTGTGAAAGCTCCCAAAGTCAACTTCACCAGTGCTTTCGCTGCTTCCAATGCTGCAGCTCAGGCGAGCAGCAACCTCTTTATGGCTGATGCACGTGCGGCACTGAGGTCCAAAGTTCGAGGTCTGCGCAAGAAGAAGGATCGCGATGTCTCCTCTGCGGAGCCTACGATATCGACCAAGCCGGCCGCCACGATGTCTTCTCTGCGGGGCTGACTCTAGCCAACAAGCCGGCCATATCCTTGTCGCAAGACATCAGTTGTTGCAAGCCTCATACTCAGTCAGCAAAGACAAGTTGCCGCAACGTCTCCTCCATTGTGCTGACCTCACCTGCTGAGCCCAGCATCTTCTTGCAAGCTGTCAAGCCTTGTGAGCGTCAAAGCCACTTGGCGAGCACGAGTGGCCGCAATGTCTCCTCTGTGCCAACTCTAGCCAACTCTAGCCAACAAGCTGGCCATATCCTTGTTGCGAGACGTCAGTCGCCGCGAGCCTGACACTCAGTCAGCAATCACGAGCTGCCGCCAGGTCTCCTCCATTGTGCCGACCTCACCTGCTGAGCCCGACATCTTCTCGCGAGCTGTCAAGCCTCGTGAGCGTCAAAGCCACTTGGTGAGCACAAGTTGCCGCAATGTCACCTCGCCCACCAAGCCTGACATCTTCTTGCAAGCTGTCAAGCCTTGTGAGCATCAAAGCCACTTGGCGAGCACGAGTCGCCGCGATGTCTCCTCCATGGTGCCGACCTCGCCCACCAAGCCTGACAGCTTCTCGCAAGCTGTCAAGCCCTGCAGATTCTCCAGCTTGTTGCGAAGGCGTTGGTGCTCCTCGTCTATTGCAACAAGCTGAGCCTTCGCCGCTTCAAACATCCTCCAGGCGCGCTCGTTATCCGCCTGAACGAGGTAGGCAATCGTCTTGCCCTCGTTTGCTTTATCCAAGGTTCCTCGCAGCTCCTCCCGCAGAAGCTTGACCTCTTTCTCAAGTTCGGCCTTCTTCTCCTTGTGCTCAGCCTCGAGTTTCTTCACCAGATCGTTCTTGCGCGTGAGCTCATCGCTGACCTTTTGAAACCGCGTTTTGTCTGGAACCCTTTTGGTATTCGCTTGCAGTACTTTCTGTTCGGCGTTCTGTACCTTGGTGCGCAATTGGATGTTGTCACGTCCGATCAGGTCGCATTTGCGCGTGAGTTTGTCCTGCCAGACGTCATTTGGAGTTTCTGCTCCGCTCTGCCAGACAAGGAGTTTCAGCCGCGCGCAGCAATTGAATTTGCACCACGGACACCCGCACTTACAATGGACATCGCAGCCAGAGACAAATCGCACTCGTCTTGTGGAGCTATGGTAGAGAAATCTGCCGACCTCTGGCTTCTTGTCAAGGTGTGACCAGTCTTGTGGCCACTTGAGCTGTCCTTGCACTGCGAGTTGGCGTCAGATAGAGCATTCCACGTCAGATCACCTCATGCGGATGCCTGGATTTGGACCAGATCGGACAGACTCACGTAAGATGGTTCCATTGGAACGGATGCATCC